GTGGTCAAAAGATATTCTGACAAGAAAGCTTGCTGCACCAATTCCTTATATTCTTTCTCTATATATATTATATATTACGTGCAATATATAACATGTTGTATATAGCATATAGTTCTAACTATATATGCATGCATAATATATAAATACACATTATATATATATATATATGTCAATATATGAGTAATATGTTCACACAAAAACACTGCTCCTATTTCAAAAGGAATAAAATTTACTCTGGATGAGTGACCTAAATATCCCACCCTAAATATTATGTTATGAAGTTCTCAACAGGACAAGTTTCATGAAGATTTTATAAAAGAACAAAGAAAATCATAAATCAAAATACTTCAAAATGGATTGGTCAAAACATCAGTTAGGCTGGATACCACTAGACAGCTTAATCTCTATTTCAGGCCCCAGATGTCCACATGTCATCTGATGGCATTCTTCAGAAAAAAAAAAATATATATATATATATATATATATATATATATATATTATAATTGCTCAATAAATGGCCATCCAGAAGCTAAAGATAGCCCAAGATAATTCAGCTCTTGTCCTGTAACATTCCAGCATTCCACAATCACCAATGTTTGAGTCAGTCACAGCCTTGTGGGATGTTTGATACAGCTGTCACTCTTCTAGGGGTTGGGGAGTGCAGTTCACACTGTCTATTAACAGTTATCTGAGGAACTCTCTTTTGTCCCCAGCTTTGTAGTAGACCACGTGCTGCCAACTCTCTCATTCTCTGTGCCCACTCCAAGGGAAGAAGCAGCTCCTCCCCTAAAGCCTTCTCCCTCACCCTTTGTTCCAAGCCCCTAAAGGCCAGACTCTCTCAGTATGAGCCAGCCAGTGACTGCTCTGGGTGTGTGGGCTCAGTGTAGCCCCAAGCCTTTCTCAGGGTGAGTTTTTAGCACAAAGGACATGTCTTAGGTTGACATACTTCAGTTAAGAAGAACCGTTAGCCAGAAAAAAAAAGAACTATAGAAGCCAAAAGCAAGGTTTGTGCATTTAGAGACTTTCCCAGAACTACGGACTTTGATGTATTAGGTCTTTGTTTTCATTTTGGCATGCTGAGTTTTATGGCTTGAATGCTACTTCCATCATTGAGTCAGTTGTGCTAAGGTCTGGGGGCCTGTTAAAAACTTCATGTTCTACAGAGCTATATTAATAAAAACAGCATGTTATTGGCATAAAAACAGACACAATGATCAATGGAATTGAATTGAAGATCCAGACATAAATCTACACAACTATGTACACTGGATTTTTTTTTATAAAGAAGTCAGACATACACACTAGAATAAAGGTAGTATCTTCAAGAAATGTTGCTGGTCAAATTGGATGGCTGCATGTAGAAAAAATGCAAATAGGTCCATATTTATCACTATGCACAAAACTCAATTCCAAGAGGATCAAAGCCTCAACAAAGGCCAGATACACTGAATCTGATAGAAGAGAAAGTAGAAAGTAATCTTGAACTTACTGGCACTTTCTGAACAGAACACAGTTAGAATATGAATTAATAACAACAATAAATGGAACCATGCAAAACTGAAGAACTTCTTTATGGCAAAAGTCACCATCATTTGGACAAATCGGCAAGATACAGAATGGGAAAAAAATTTTACCAATTATATCTTATAGAGGGCTAAAATCTAAAATATATGAAGAACTAAAAAATACCCTGTACATAAAAAATACCAATAACCCAACTTAAAAATGGGGTACAATAATAAGCAGAGTATTCTCAAAAGAGGAAACACAAATGGTTGAGAAGCACTAAAAGACATGTTCAACATCCTTAGTCATCAAGGACATGGAAATCAAAACTTTGAGATTTTGTCTTACACTAGACAGAATGGCCAAGATCAAATATAAATATATATATATATATATATATATATATATATATATATATAGAGAGAGAGAGAGAGAGAGAGAGAGAGAGTTAAGCTGGTGAGAATTGGAATAAGGAGAACACTGATCCATTGCTGGTAGTGGTGCAAACTTTTATAGCCACTTTGAAAATTAGTGTGATGGTTCCTCAGGAAGCTGGGAATAGATCTATCCCAAGATCCAGCTATATTACTCTTGGATATATACCCAAAGTATGCTTTATCTTAATATATAGGCATTTCCTCAGTCATGTTCATTGTTGCTGTGTCCACAATAGCCAAAATCTGGAAAGAGCCTAATGTCCATTGACAGATGAATGCATAAAGAAAATGTGGTACACTTACACAATGGAATTTACTCAGCAGTTAAAGAAATGAAATAATGAAATTTGCAGGCAAATGGATGGAGTTAGAAGAAAACCATCCTGAGTGATGGTATGTATTTGCTTATATGTGGATGTTAGCTATTAAATCTTCAGGCTTTACTCCACATAACCACAGAGGTTAGGTATAGAGTAATGGACTGGGGTACGGAATGTGCCTCCCTAGGAAGGGAAATAGAATGGATAATTAGGGACTGAGGGATACTGAAATGGGAAGAACAAATGGAGAAGAGAAGGGAGAGGAGGTGGGGGAGGGAACTGGCAGAGAGATAATTACAACCAAGGGCCATTTGAGGGATTTTATGAACAACTAATATAGTAGAAAGGCCATAAAATATTATATAATTTGAATACATCATATAACAACAAAAAACTATTTTCAATTTTTAAAAAACCCCCACATGAATACATAGTTTAAAACACAGAAAGCAGTGTGAAATGAGCTCTCTGAAGAGACTGTTGTGGCCTGTGTAGAATTCCCAGTTTTATAGACCAAAGCTAAAGTTATCTTGGGGGTATATTTAGTTCCCTTGATTAGCCATTTGATAGCCATTTTTGCATCTAAGATCTTTTTATGACTTTTAGATAGAATTATTGGAATGTGTCTCTAAGTTTGATGATTAGTCTTCACAAGCCCTAAAAGAAAACATGTAAATCCTATCAATCCTCTGCCTTGACCCCATATGCAGCTAGAAATAGAGATTGTTCATGACTTTCTTTTCTTGCCTAACATACATAGGTCCTTGGGTTTGATCCCCAACACAAAATAAAAATAAAATTCATGTAACTTTTCCACGGTGGAACATTTCATTAGGTGTAACTTGCATCTAATTTTCTGGGCCATTGTCATTCATACTTGATGCAAAGTGAAGTATCTTATTTCCTTAAAATAGTTGTTTTAGGGGGCTGGGGAAGATGGCCCAGCAGTTAATAGTACCGCCTACTCTTTCAGAGGAACTGGGTTTGATGTCTAGCCCACACATGGCAGCTCACAACTGTCTATAACCCCAATTCTAGGGAATCTAGCACCTTCTCACAATATAGGTAAACCACTAATCTACATAAAATTAAGGAAAAATTAAAAAAAAAATCACTTGTATTTTGTGTGTGTGTGTGTGTGTGTGTGTGTGTGTGTGTGTGTCCATAAGCAAATGCTCAGAAACAGTGTGAGTGCAGACAGATTTGCTAAGAGAAGAAATAATCTGACCGTTCAGAGAAAACCGGGTCCTCCTTTATTGGTAATCACTCAGGGTCAATAGTTTAAGGAGCACCTCTAGTACAGTTTTCCTTTGATGGTGCCCAAAGATTGCACATCTGGAACTTAGTCCTTTACACTAATATTCACAGCTATGAGTCTTTTGTCTTTTTTTTTTTTTCCCAGTGATACATTAGGTAATGGCTATTGGTTATTTGGTTATCACAATTGGAAGAAGGAAAGTATTAACTCTGAGTGGGTTAGAGGATTGTTTCAGCACCCTATAGCACACAGAATAGACTACTAAACACAAATAGTGACTTAACCTAAATATTAATAGTGCTGAATTCCAGAAAACTCTAAGTTTTTGGGACTTAGGTGAAATAACATATTTAAGTCTAGTTGTCATGTGAAAATAAATTCTGAGGCTTTTTGGAAAGTTAGTTTCCATAGAGACAAGTCGATGGAGAAGAATAAGTGGCATGCTAGTACCTTTAGAAATGGACAAGGTAGCCTGCCAAAAAGTGAGGAGGGAGGGACAAATGCTGAATTTACAACATGTTAGAGGATAATGTTCCTTGGAAATGAGAACCATATTCACTGAAGTTTTTTCATAGGCAGGTCGATCTCTGTGAGCTTGAGGTCAGCCTGGTCTACATAGTTAGCTCCAGGACAGGCAGCCGGGTTACATGGTGAGACCCTGTCTCAAAACACGAATAAATAAGAAAGTAAATAAATAAATAAACAAACAAATAAATAAATAATAGGTGGTGGTTTAGGGTGGACTGGTAGCAAACGCCTTTAATCCCAGAATGTGGGTGGCTATCGGAAAGGCTCCCAGATCAGTCAGGTCTATCTATCTTGCAAGTTCGAGGCTATACCTGGCTGCACAGTGAGGAAAACAACAAAGCATGTTGTGGTTGCTATTAGGGCAAGCGGTCCAACTACAGCACAGATGCTCAAATAAGAGGAAGCTAATCTCGAACCCCGAATTGCAAATGACTTCAGTGTGGAGTCAGAAGTTATTTCCTGAAATAAAAACTTAATTTGTGTGCCTTCTATGGAAAAGCGCCGTGATCCACTAAGGAATGGCGCTTGTCCACCAAAACCAAACCCGTTCCGTTCTCATGAGGAAGGCTTGAGTTGCCCTTTCAGACTGTCACAGACACCCAACAGGCCAGGCAGAGGGCATCTGAAATAAGCCAAAGCGCCAGAGACCATATCCACCTTGCCCACCACTTCCAGGAAACTCCGCCGAAGCCGTTCGTTGCCACTACGGTGGCCGCCAGGGCCCCGCCGGTGACAGAAAGTCAGACCCGCAGGAGGGCGTTTGCGGATTTCCTAGAAAGGCTCAGCACTCCTCCAGTCATTCTATTGGTCGAGGCAAGGGAGGGCCCGCCTCTCTGCGTGACCCATTGGCCATGCGTCCATCGCAGCTGGGCGGGGCCTGGCGCCCCATTGCATCAGCTGGTTCCGGCTAGGCCACGTGGCGCACGCGCAGTGTGGAATTGCTGGTCTCCTGCCTTTGGCTCTTCTCTGCCGGTAGCTCTCCGGTATTGTCTCTCTCCCTCTCTGTCTCAGCGGTCCTTCCATGTCGGAGGAGAAGGCCAACAGCCCTTCGGGGAAGATGGACGGCGAGAAACCGGTGAGCAGGCGCGGTGGTTGGACGTGTCGTGGCAGCCCACATTGCCCGGCGGGAGTGGAAAGGAGCAGGGGGAAGCCCGAGCAGGCAGGAGTGGTCCTGGGTTCATCCTCATCCCAGACATCCGTGATCTTAGACTGAGTGACTTGCCAATAGCTACACAGTGACCATGGGGGGCTTGGACCCCACACATGGGCCAGAAGAACATTGCAGAACTTTTAAAATCCTAAACTTTTGTGTAGCAGAAAGCTCTAGTTAGGAGGGAAAAGACAGTTCCCGAGATCAGATCCTGTTTGCCCAAGATTTGGGAGCTTTATAAGTAAATGGTGAAGGCTAAATGGCTCCATTTGACAGACTGCTTGGAAATTTGACTGGGCCTGGAAGCGCCCTAGATAACTTGAACACATGTCCTCCTTAAAGCCAACAAACGTTCTGTTTGTTTGCCCTGGCATTTAGCTCCGCAGGTGGCAACCCGAGTAAGATCGATTCCCTGACTTTGGGGTTGGGAGCATAGAGTCCCAAGACTGGAAAATCGAAGTTCTGTGTGATCAGTTCAGTTGGGTTATAGAGGAAGCATCGAACTTGGTATGGCCAGACTGTTTTATTGGATTTAGAAAAGTGAGATCAGGTAAAGCAGGTGGACAGGGCTATCCAGATTCAGAGGTTGAGTTGTGCTTTGCTATACTGAAAGAGACAGGAAAGGGAAATAGAGATAGAAGGTATCAGTGTTCTGTGTGTGCAGGGTTTTAAGCAGGGAGGTGCTGTATATGAACTGTATTGTCAAAACTGACCTGGCATTGGTGTGTAAGGAGAGGTGAGGCGCTGTGACAGAGTCTGTTTGAGTAGTCCAGGTGAGCATCTCTAAGGTCCTGATAGGACAGATCACTAAAATGCTTATGCATACATTCTAAACTACACATTTAAGGTGATGACTACAAGTAGGTATTGTTTCCTTTTAAAAAATGGTGTTTCACCATTTACAACTTGGTTACCCTTCTGCTTCCTTCCAGACTGTCCTTTAATCCTACTCTTTAAACCACCCCTGTTACTTCAGAGTCCCTCTGGGTTTTTAAGATTTACATGGGGCTAGGAGTTAGCCAAGATAATCAGCCCCTGGGCAGGCTTGTAGTAAAACATTAGATAGAGGTTTTGTGAATAAAATGACTTGAAATGTAAACTGTGGTATTATTGCCTCTGTAATAATCAGGTATCTTAAATTTTGAGAGCTTACTTGGTGGGGTGCAGATTTAACCCAAAAAGTTCTCTTGTCACTGAGCTACATCCCCAGCCCCATAGGCCAAACTTTTTATTCCTTCACATAACAAGGCCATCTTAAAGAACATAATTACACCCAGTTCACAAGAGGGAAAACTGAGCACAGAAGAAATGAACTGGTAAGTGTGATCACACAGTGCACTTAGGCTCCCCGAAGATAGCTTGCAGGCTGGATAGGTAGGTAGATAATATACGTCCCCAACCCCGAAATGACCCATATTGACTAAGTTATATAATTTCTTGTTGCTTTGTATTTACTGCAGGTCCAAGTCTAAAGGGAAAGTTACAGAAACTTTGAGGAAGTGCACATTGATAAGCGGCCTTGGAACTCTTTAGGGCTTGTTTTTATTGCAAGTTGTCTAACTTGTTTTTTACCAGGGATGGAATTTTCAATCTTTCAAAATAAGATTGTCCTTTTAATTTTTGTTTGTTTGATTTTTTGTTGTTGTTGTTTTATTTTTTGTTTTGTTTTCTTTTCTTTTGTTTGTTTATTTGTTTTTTGTAGCTTCCTTGGCTGCAGTTATGGAGAAGATACCAAATTAGGTTGAAATGAGGGAACTTCTCTTTTGCTTATTTAGGTGGATGCCAGTGAGGAGAAGCGAAAGGAAGGAGGCAAGAAGAAAAACAAAGATGGCGGTGGAGATGGAGGTCGAGCAGAGGTAAAACAAGCTACCACCATAGAGGCTTGGGTTTCCGAGGCTGGCAGGAATGGGAACTGTCCCAAATTTGCCCTACAAAAGTGTGTGTGGGGGGAGGACTGTGTGTCTGTGTGTGCATGTGTGTGTATCCATGACACACATGTGGAAACCAGAAGGCAGTTTGTAGGCAGTCCTTCCCTACTCTGGGTGCTGAGGATAGAGTTCAGATGTTACGCTTGGTGGCCCCTGTGTAAGGATTCTAATGGTCCCTGAAGGTAGCAAGGTAGCACTAGGTGGAAAACGAAGGGAGAAGAATTGAGAAAAGGCCTGAGAGGGAAAAAGGATTTACAGATACCTGACAATGCAAAGGGACAAGTATGTTATTGTTAGATGACCTCACAGTGCATTTAGATAGAAACATGAGAGATGAAAAGTGTAGAGGAAGGGCTACAGTTGTCGCCAGGCTGCCAAGACTGGATGCTGATTTTCTATTTCTTTAAATGAGGTGCCAAGGGGTAAGCACTCAGTGTTAGGTTCCTACAAGTACAGAAAGAACCAAACAAAATCCGGTTCCTGGATTCCTTTCTTATTGCTCGGATCTGCTTCTGGGGTCTGGTTTGCTTATGTCCAGGAAATTATTTAGTTGCTGGGCTCAGTGACACAGAACTGGCCATTGAAAGCCATCCCAGAATGCAGTTGGTTCCTGGTGCTTGAGTAGATGTTTATGTGTGTTGTTCTGCTGGTTTTGAATCTGAACTGCTATAAACTGTGCATTGCTTTTTGCATTTAGTCATTGCAGTTTTATTAGGGACTGTGGAAAGCTGCTGGGATGAGGAGCTCAAGAGACTAAGCTTTTTTGAAGTAACTCAGTAAATGGACTTTAAAGAGCTGGTTATAAAGCTGGAATAGTGATGCACGTACGCCCTTCTTTAGTTCCAGTGTCTCTGAGTTGGAGGAGGAGAATGCCAAGTTCTAGACCAACCTAGGATGTATAGTGAGACCCTGTCTTAGAGAAACAAAACACACCTTGTCTGTATAATGCTGAATTGCTAATTTTAAAACCGATTTGGCAAACAAAGTGGATTCACCTGTAAAGAGTTGTCTCTGTTCAGCCAGTCCCTGCTCATTTTACACCAGTGTCATTGTGGGAGGAATTGTTGATAGTGAATCTTAAGATTTGCAAGTAAAGAATGATACGCATGCCTCTTAATTTCCTTGTTATACTTTGGATGGAATTGTGTGTATTGTTCTGTTATAGATTGAAACATGGCTTAGTAATAGGAAACAAGCAGTCCAGTGATTCTTCTGAGAATTTTAACTGGCTGTGTGATTATTATGTGTTTTAAATTATCTTTACAAATGAAGAGTGGACAGTGATGTGTCCACCACCTTGCCTTCTCTGTGCTCCCATCATTTGCTAACTTGTCATGGTGTCCTTCTAGGGACATGCAGGTTTTACCTGTCTGCATTTTCAGAAACTGGCATGGAGCACATTGCTCAGTTAATACTGAGTAAGTTTCAGCTATTTTGCTTATAAAATGCCAAGTAGATACAGAAATAAACTGTCATAAGATGTGGAGGGTTGGTGGGAAGGGGTAATCAGGCACACATTGGATAGGCTGAGGTTGGGGTCGTCTTTGTACAATGATGGGCTATGGCCATTGTTAGTTCAGTGCTTCTTCATAGGTAGTTATGGAGTCCCGTGATAATCTGGTGGGATTATAGGTATGTACAATCAAGTCTGGCAATCTCTGACAATTTCTATATATGTATACATATAGAAAGTCATAGTAAAAGCAAGCCATTTCTTTTTTATTGCTGTTAATGAGCATGTTACTACCAGAGCATCATGCCTTGAACTGGATCATGAGTTCAAGGCTGGAGTATGCTACATAGTATGCTTGAGATTTCCAAGGAGGTTGTAAGGTAGAGTTAGATGCTGGGGGAAAATGATCTATCTTACTGTCATTTGGAGACGGAATTATCAGCTTCACTACTTGCTTGAGCAATAGAAGTCAGATTTTTGGGGGGAACTTCAGTAGTGTTTTATATAAAATATTCTGGCTAATTATATTGAGTGTATGGGGCACTAGTGATGTGTCCTATTTTAAATAATCTGAAAAAGATGATCATGTCATTTTTTAATGGGATAATAGTTTTCTTTAGTAGATGCCTCTAAGTCAAATAAACTTCTGGTTGGCCTAAAATCCAACCAGCTACACAGAGTGCCCCTGATTAAGGTTCCAATCATGAGGTACTTTATTGCTTCTCTCCATGCAGTGTTGCTTGTAGCTGAATTCAGAATCATTTAGTTAGAAAAGATCTTGAGTCCGGCCATGCTGGGCATACAGCTCTATTGATAGAGTGTTTGTTGAACATGCAAGAAAACCTGGTTTTGGTTTCAAGGAACATATAAGCCAGTTATATACGTTTAACCCTAGCCCTCTTGGTGTTAGGAAGATCATGAGTTCAAGTTCATCCTTGAGACCCTGTCTCAAGAAGCAAAGAAGGAAACCCTGAGGAGGGCATCTTAAGAGGAAAAAATCACTGGAACAAACTGTAAATTACAAAACAGTAATTGGTTATCAATTCAAGATGTTGGCAGCTCAGCTGCTTAAGTTTTATGCTTTTTTTATTTTTGAATAAAAATCAGAGTCACCCATCGTCTTCATTTATCCTTACTTGGGACTAGATTAATGCCAGTGATTATTGTGATCTATGAGCCAGTCTGGATTTGTCATGATGGACTTTTGTGTTATATATTATTATTATTGTTTCCTAAAGCAAGTATTGCTGATTACTTACAGCTTTGTTTGTTTACAGTTGAATCCTTGGCCGGAATATATTAACACGCGCCTTGATATGTATAATAAGCTAAAAGCAGAACATGATTCTATCCTGGCTGAAAAGGCAGCAAAAGATAGCAAGTCAATTAAAGTCACTTTGCCTGATGGCAAACAGGTGGATGCAGAGTCCTGGAAAACCACACCGTATCAGATTGCATGTGGGATTAGGTAAGACTACACCCCCTTTGATCGCCTATGGTTTATAATGTAACTAAATGTTCATTTGTTGGCTGCCAGGTATATCCTGATAATATTATCATGTTTCTGCTCAAGGTGTTTTATTTACTTGAGATTTTTGAAAACTCAAGGTGATGTGGAGCTTTACAGTCCAGACTCGGTGTTAATTTCAGAAGGTGCATACCCGGTTCTCTCTTTGTAGAGCTATGGCTTGGGGTTCTGTGTTGCATTTTAATGCGTACATCGCCTGGGGACACTTGAGAAGCAAGTGCTAAATGTGAACACCTCTGTTTTTAGATCATTCACTCCTAAAAGCAGGAGTTTTTAATAACTAGCCTTCATCAAGTTTTTCCAGATAATCACTTTGTCTTCTTATGTTTTTAAGTCAAGGCCTGGCTGACAACACCGTTGTTGCTAAAGTGAACAAAGTTGTCTGGGACCTGGACCGCCCTCTGGAGACGGACTGCACTTTGGAGCTTCTCAAGTTTGAGGATGAGGAAGCACAGGCAGTAAGTATCTATCCAGTGTCTGTTAGATTTGCAGGAACGCTGGAAACGAGTTTTTGTCTCACTGTGTTGGTATCACAGTGGCTCAGTGGTTTCCACTGTAACATGGAGGCCACAGGTGTTTATGGACATCTCTCACTATTACTTTGTGGCCTTGGTTGTAAATCTTGAAAATATTGCTTTGGGTGTATCTCATCTGTGTCTTTCAAACAGTAACTCATCATGAATCTGCCGAAACTAAAGCCATCTCGTGTTTCTTTATATTCTCAGGTATATTGGCACTCCAGTGCCCATATAATGGGCGAGGCCATGGAAAGAGTCTATGGTGGATGTTTATGTTATGGCCCACCAATAGAAAATGGGTTCTATTACGATATGTACCTTGAGGAAGGGTAAGTGAAGACACTGGATGAAGGGGAGATTTGAGTGGCTGTGGGTCTAAGTATAACTATTAAAGCATTGTCAGGAGATAATCACAGTATAAACTGCTAGTTACAGTTACTAAGAAAAGTTGAAATATTGAGAGCTGTGTGTAATGAAATCTCTGGGGTTTAAATGGAATATGGAAAGGTAATGTTTTCTCCTTCAGGGGTGTGTCCAGCAATGATTTCTCTTCCCTGGAAGCTTTGTGTAAGAAAATCATTAAAGAGAAACAAACTTTTGAAAGATTGGAAGTGAAAAAGGAGACGTTACTAGAAATGTTTAAGGTAAACTGAGCCATAACCAATTTGATTTTATTAGCTAGTCCTTGAAATAGTGCATCAGAGTTTCCTCTAGAGAAACTGAAGCATCTTCAAAATGTGAAATATAGGGATGCTCTTTATTTTTCTTATTTTAGATATTGATCTCGGTTCCTCACTCCCTCCCTCTCTTCCACCCTCCCATGCCCCCCATCCACCCTCCCATCCCATCCCTCCCACCCCCAACTCCACATGTAGGGTGATGCCTTCTTGGAGGGGGTCATGTAAATCTGTCAAGTCATTTGGAGTAGGGTTGAGGCCCTCCCTCCTGTCTCTAGGTTAAGAGAGGATCCTTCCATGGGGATGTGCTCCCAAAGTCCTTTTGTGCACCAAGAATACATCCTGGTTCCACTGTCTGAGGTCCCTTAGACTGCACAGGCCTTCTAACTGAGACCCATGTTCAGGGGGTCTGAGTCAGTTCCATGCTGGATTCCCAGCTATCAGTCTGGGGATCCATTAGCTCCTCCTTGTTCAGGTCAGATGTCTCTGTGGGTTTCTGTAGCCTGGTCTTGTCCTCCCACTCTGCATCTGGATTCCAGTTCAGCTCAGTGTTTAGCTGTGGGGTGTCTGCTTCTGTTTCCATCAGCTACTAGATGAGGGCTCCATGATGGTGGGTAAGTTAGTGTCAGTCTCATTATCAGGGAAGGGCATTTATGGTAGCCTTTCCATTGGGGTCAATCTTGTAGGTCTCTGAACATTTCTCTAGAGTCAGTTTTCTCTTCAAACCTATAATGACTCCCTCTTTTATGGTCTCTCTCTCTCTCGCTCTCTTCTCTCGTCTATTCCTTCCTTTACTCAATCTTCCTAGTCCCACGTACTTTCCTCCCCTTTCTCCTAGCTCCCTCTCCACTCACTGCCCCCCCCCCAATATGCTCAGGAGATCTTGTCCCTTCTCCTTTGAGGGACTTTTTATGAATCTCTTAGAATCCTCTTTGTATCCTAGTTCCTCTGGCTATGTGAATTATAGGCTGGTGATCCTTTGCTCCATGTCTAAAATCCATATATGAGTGAGTACATACCATATTCCTGTTTTTGTGACAGGGATACCTCATTCAGAATGGTTTCTTCAAATTCTGTCCACTTGCCTGTGGATTTCAAGATTCCATTATTTTTTTCTGCAGAGTAGTAGTCCATTGTGTAAATGTGCCAAATCATTTTTATTCGTTCTTCAGTTGAGGGGCATCTAGGTTGCTTCCAGGTTCTTGCTATTACAAGTAATGCTGCTACGAATATAGTTGAACAGATGTCTTTGTTGCATGGATGTGGATCATTTGGGTATATCAGGCATGCTCTTAAAAGTGTGCTTCAACTCACTTTCCAGCTGCACATTTAGAGATAAAGAGGGGAGGCCAATGCAGTGTCTTGTTTCTCATTTTCAGTACAACAAGTTCAAGTGCCGGATATTGAATGAAAAAGTGAATACTCCAACCACGACTGTCTATAGGTGAGTATTTTGAATGGTATTGAATGCAGTTCATTTGTTAGTCTGCCTTTGCTAAAGTTCCTTTTATTTTATCTTTAGATGTGGCCCTTTAATAGACCTCTGCCGGGGTCCCCATGTCAGACACACTGGCAAGATTAAGACTTTAAAAATACACAAGGTAAGACATGCTGAGATGCCTACAGTTCTTATGCCTCAGTTTCCATTGCTTCCTCCTTTCTAACAATTTGTTTCTTGTAACTTTAGGGAGGGTCAACGGTTTTTGGTTTTAGTGCTATATACTGACTGGTATATGTGTGTTTTGTACACTAGTACTTATTACCAGAGCCAGCATAAGGGGACAAGGGTTTGGAGGAGCCACAGAATCAGGCAGTCACAGGCTCACTCATTGTTGGAGTTTAGCTAATTATCACTCCAGTTGCTCTTTTTCATAGAATTAGCCTGTCAGTTTTTTTTTTTGTTGTTGTTGTTGTTGAAAGTATATTTTTCTCCAAAGGTGAACACAGTGGTCTTGGTTGGGAATCAATGAATTGAGAGAACATTTAGGACTCTTTTCCATAGCCACATGCTTGTACAAACCATTGTATAACAACCCATCGCCTTTTACAAAATGATAAAGTTTGCATAATATTTATTATGCAAATTAAAAAGCCTATGAATACAGAAAATACCAGTTTATTGGGGAGCATTTCCAAAGGTTACTGTACCATAGAATTTTGTGAAACTCTAAAGTGTGTCTTCACACAATACACAAAATTGACTTTCCATTTCTTTTCGTGCATGTACATTCTTTTATCTTCAGGTGAGAATATGTAAAACAATTATTAATAACACAATAGTGCAGCTAGTTAACAAAATGAGATGACCCAAAAGCCATAACACAAAATCAAACAACAAAAAATTGATCTTGTATCAATTTCTAGGTCACATTCCTGAATGGAATGAAAATGTAAAGGCAACCAAATACATGGAAGTCAGTATTTTGAGAGGAGAAAGGGTCTACTTGATGTTTTAACATAAATTGTCCATTTCACATCTGTGACAATGACTCTTTAGGCTCTATGAAACCAAAAATTGAAAGTTAAAGGTTGTAAGTTATATCAGTATGCAAAAAAATACTTATATAATGAGGAACATACATATAAAAATATACATACTGAAAGTTGGTTATATGATAGGTATGTCTGAATTACTAGTAACTTGTAACTTGTCATATTTCACATAAATAGATAGCAGAGACAAAATAATTAAAAAAAGAAATGTGTCATTCTTTGATCCTGGAATGGTTTGGTTTGGTTTTACCTTTTTTTTTTTTTTATGAGAAAACAATTTTCATAAAAGGATAAATAAAAGTGTTTTTTTTTTTTTTTTTTTTTTTTATAACCAAGTCCATTTAAATGAAAACAAACATTTATAGACAATATTTGGGAATTTGGGTGTCGTTCTTTCCAAACTACTTCCTGCTGGTAAGGGGCCCTGACATAGGGGGATTCGAAGAAGATTCATAAATCCTGGCTGTAGTCTGTAAGGCTGCTTTGTCCAGCTGTTTTGAATGTAGGATCACCTGGTACTCTGTTTCAGGCGGTCTGGCTTGATCAAACCACATTAGTCTGGAAGGAATCCACATCTTTTCATTTTCTATGGAAACAAAAATAGAAATCCTTTTCCTCAGTAACTTGTCCTTGAACTTAAATTTTGGAATCAAAGCATTTTTTTTTAATTTAATTTATTATTTTACATGTCGATCCCAGTTCCCTCTCCCTCCCTCCCAACCTTCCTCACTCTCTCCCTTCCTCCCTCCCTCCTTCCCTCCCTTTTACCCTCTCTGCCCTCTCATATGCACTCTAACCACCCTCCCATCCCCCCAGCCCAATTCCATATGTAGGGGAGTGCTATCCAGTAGGGGTCTGACAGTCAGGGACTAGTAGCCTGTCAGTTTTATGCTGACTTAGGAGTGCTGTAATTATATGTGTTCTCTGAGCCCTGAGAACCACTACATCCATTCCAGGTGCCTTGACTGTTTATGCTTGTTTATGGGTTCCTTTCCATTTGGTGTCATGATTTTGTAGGAGGAGCCCTGTGTTTATGGGATTGTGATCTGGGGAAAGAACCTTCCTGAGAAAGGCAAGCAGAGACTTCTGTGCGGTGGAATGAGTCCATCCACTTGGGGTGGACCTCAAAACACTGGGAGATGTTTCCTAGTAATGTGTGTTGTATGTAGAGTCCTTATCAAAGAAATTAGTATGGATTGTGAGAAGTAATACACTATTAATGTGAAACGTTCACAAATTAAAGTGTTGTGTCATTGTTGGTTTTTGCTTTTAGAATTCCTCCACATACTGGGAAGGCAAGGCGGACATGGAGACCCTCCAGCGGATTTATGGCATTTCATTCCCTGACCCCAAACTGCTGAAAGAGTGGGAGAAGTTCCAAGAGGAAGCCAAAAACCGAGATCATAGGAAGATCGGGAGGGTGCGTCCAAGAGCAGCGATGCGTCTAGTTTGGGTTTCCCTCCAGTTCATTCGGGTTGAGCCTGCTCAGCACTAAGTTTGTTTTTGAAGAGGAGCTTAGATTTCAGGCTCCCTGGCCTCGGAGCCCATGTTGTCCACCCTGTCTTCTGAACCCTTCAGGGCCCATCCCAGTTACTGTTACTGAGAATAGGGCTAGTGACCCACAGCTTCCTGAGGACACCATTTCAGAGCTGGCAGAAGTAGACTCTGAAAACCCATCTCAGGCTCCTTGTCACGCTGTCGAGTCTGAATCTGAGTGGTCAGTCTCCCTGTTTCTTCTGGGGACATGGCAGTCACCAGTGGATTCTGTGCCTTTTCTTGACTCTAGCTGCCCCTGACCTCTAGTCGGGTTACATTCAATTCTTTAAAACCTTTTCCTCCATAAAATGAAGTTCACTGCCCGAGGCCTTAGCTCCTGGAAATAAATGACTGCAATGGGGAAATGGGGAAGGTGGCAGTGATTGGCAGGTTCCTCCCCAAGGGCTTCTAGCCATTTCCCTGCCTTTCATTATCAGGGTGTTTTCCCTTTCTCCTTCCTAACAAAACCCAGATCTCAGAGCTCTGGGGACTTCTATTCCATGCCACAGTTTCCTAACCCTTACTGGACAGATGACTGTCAGGGAGGTGACAGATTGTGCTAAGTTGTTACTCAACTGCAATGCTATACCATTAAATTGTACCCAAGAAACAATGGCATGCTTTCTTTTCTTTAATATTAGCACAATTGAAATTTGGAACACAGGATAGCTAGAATTCTGACCTGAAGAACACCAATCATTTATACATTTATAAACAAACTTCTGCTATTTTATCCAGGACCAAGAACTATATTTCTTCCATGAACTCAGCCCTGGAAGTTGCTTTTTCCTGCCTAAAGGAGCCTACATTTATAATACACTTATGGAATTTATCCGGGTAAGTCTTATCTGTCACTGTCTTCTGAAGAGTTAGGATAGAAGATGATTTTACTAGCTAGGGTATGCTAAAAGAGACAAATCTATATTGGAGGGAAAAAGAAATACACATTTTTCTTTTAAGTTGAAGCTTGTAACAGCAGAGATGCTCGGTGGTTACAAGTGATCGAGTGATTGTTGCTCTTCCAGAGGACCCAAGTCAGTTCAGTTCCCCAGTACCCACTCAAGTGTTTCACTCAAGCTCCAAAGGATCTGACGCCCTCTGCTGGCCTCTGCAGGCACCTGCACACACATAGCCGCCACCCAATAAACACACGTACATATACACACACATAAATACGTTTTTAAAAAGTTGGGGCTGCAAAGATGGTTCAGTGGTTCAGAGTAATTGCTGCTCTACCAGAAGACTTGAGTTTTAATCACAGCTTTCAGTCATGTAGCTCACAACCATATACCTAGCTCCTGCACCAGCGGATCTGATACCTTCATCTGGCCCTGAGGGTACCCACCCCCAGGTGGCACGAATTCACATAGACACACACACACATGCATGTGAATATAATTTTTAGAGTCATTCTGATGTGTAATTTTGTTCATGGAAACAGGCAGAAAGTAGCTGCTGAGCTTGAAGAATCGGTAGCCTTTCACCTGGGAATGTGTTGTATCTCTTGAAGCGTTTGTGTTTTCTTTTTCAATTATGAACTATTTCAGGCATATATTTAAAGAAAACATTTAGGTTTACTTGCCACCAGATTTAACATGTTTGCATTGATTGAGCTGTATTTGTCCACAGTTTTTGTAAACAGAAAAAAGGGACTACATATTGTTTTATTTTTAAGAAAGACCCCTTTGAATGTTGTGCAGTTAGTATGGCTCCTTACCCATGTGTTTTACATCTCCATATATACGTATCTTTAATGTTTATTTATGCTTGTGTGTGCCTCAGTTCACATGTTGTGTATGTGTATTGTCACATATTCTTAGCTTGTTTGTGTCCATGCCTACTGTGGAGTGCCTGTTCCCACCACAGTAGCTTATGCACTTGGTAGTATGATAATTCATGCCCTGTGTTCCTGCACTGCTAGCCCTGCCATGGTGACGTTATTTCTGGGAGATTGCATGCACCCTTGTGCTCCCTCTTTGGGGCACCACCTCCAAATGGAGTTTCTGAGTCATGATGCATGTGCCTTTGACTTCACTAAGCAGTGTTAAATTGCTCTATGATTCTTATCCCTTCACCAACGTTTGCACTGACTTCCCTGTGTGTGTGTTCTGCTCTTGCAGAGTGAATATAGGAAGAGAGGATTCCAGGAGGTCGTCACGCCAAACATCTTCAATAGCCGGCTCTGGATGACCTCTGGCCACTGGCAGCACTACAGTGAGAACATGTTCTCCTTTGAGGTGGAGAAAGAGCAGTTCGCCCTTAAGCCCATGAACTGCCCAGGACACTGGTACCAAGCAGTTTTGTGGTTTTCTTTCTTTTTATTAAGCTTACCTGTATGTGTCTGTGTTGAGTATATGCCACATGTCTGTGGGTTCCTTGATAAAGGTATTGGAGCCTATATATGCAGTTATATGGTTGTGAGCTGCTCCGTATGGGTGTGAGGAACTGAAGCCCACTCTTCAGGAAGAGTATTGGGCTCTTACCCCTCGAACCATCTCTCCAGCCCTGCAGCTTTGCATTGCTCATATAGATTTTCTTGTGCCATAGGTGGTTCTAGATTCCTTTAGCTCCTTTGACAGAGATGTCAGTGTAGGAAGGAGACTAAGAGAAGGAAAGTCTGAAGGAGCCAGAAGAGAACATACTGGTAGTAGAAATCTATGCCATGAAACACAAAGGAAAGCTGGTGCTCGGAGGGAGACTGGTGAGGGTGGAGGAAATGTGAGCAAGGACAAGCATAATGCTAGTGTGAAAGTGTCACTGTGAAACCCACTTCATATGCTAACAACAGGAAACTGAGTGATCAGAATAGACTGCAATGTAGCATTGTTGACATTCAAGAGTGGTCCTGGGGTTATAGCAAACAGGCAAAATATACTGAAAAGGGAGTTAAATATGGGGCATAGCAAAAGACCAATATTCCTACCTTTTCTTCCTTTTTTGGAAGGCGATGCATTTTAGCAGAACTTATTGCTAATGAGTTAATATCCTTGGGAAATCCTTCCTTGTGCCTCTGCCTCAAATTGTGAAAGGTGATGGGAAGTGACCTCTGGGAGTCCTGAGAGTGATGCTGATGTAGCTAGTTTGTTCATGTATGCAGTGATTGAGGCAGAGGTGCTGAGAGGGAAACACCTTTAAGAAACTGGGAGGTGCACATCGGGAAATAGCCCAGATCACTTTGCACAGCATTCACTTTCTGAAGCACGTTAGGCCTGACTAGAGCAAGTCTGATGCTAGTTTCCAGTGGTAGAAGTAATTTGTATGCAGCTAAAAATATTTCTTCATTATGAGCCTTTCATTAAATCTTCCTATTAATTGAATGTAGTCTTCATATTAATGGAAATGCTGAGCACAAGGATTTGGCTTGAAACCTTGAATACGTTGCTTTATTATCTCTTAGCCAAAGTTAATTACATTGTAACTCACTTAACATTATATTCATACAAGTGCTTTTATTGCTGTGTAAAGCTTGGAGCTTGAAAATAATGTTGCTTGAAGCAAACTAGAATCTGGTGTTTTAACACCCTTTTATGTTACTAAATACTATTTGCGGAAGAGTTTTTTTCTTGTTAATCTTAAAAATTGCTGTTTTTGTTGTTGCTTGTGAAAGGCCTCACAAGTGCTGGGTAAGTGCTCTTCATCCTTCACCCTTGAACAGTTAAGCAAAAAAACCCATGGGTTTTTGCTTTGCTTTCTCCTCCAGCCTTATGTTCGACCATCGGCCAAGGTCCTGGCGAGAGCTGCCTCTGCGGTTGGCTGATTTTGGTGTGCTTCATAGGAATGAGCTCTCTGGGGCTCTCACAGGCCTCACCCGGGTCCGAAGATTTCAGCAGGATGATGCACACATATTCTGTGCCATGGAGCAGGTGTGTATCCTGTGGGGCAGCCCTCCAACAGACGTGTTGACACTTTTTTTTTTTTTTTTTTTCTTTCCTGAAAAGTTAAATAACACTATTTTTTCTTGCTTAAGATTGAGGATGAAATCAAAGGTTGCTTGGATTTTCTCCGCACAGTATATAACGTTTTTGGATTTTCATTTAAATTGAATCTTTCTACTCGCCCAGAAAAATTCCTTGGAGATATTGAAATATGGAACCAAGCCGAGAAAGTAAGTGATCCTTTTTAGTGTGCTTAAGAACTGACACAGTTCTGGAAAGTGTTCTTAAGTGGCTACAAGCAAAAGAAAGTGGCCAATGTTTCTGGCCTTTCAGTGGGCTGATTTGTTCTGTGTGGTCTTCAAATGATTCAGCGTTGACTGGGTGTTTTCATACTTCATCAGTTACTAAGCTGAGCTATAAATCGGGGATGGGGTTGTTGGTTTGTTTAGGAGGATGCCCTTGGGTAGACACAATTACACAGCAGACAGTAGAATTCAAGGAAATACCCAGGAGGCTTTTACCTTTAAGTTAGGTGGGAAGAAGGAATGTTGCGGATGAATAAAATTTCAAATCATTTCTGCTTTATCTGTAGCAACTTGAAAACAGTTTGAATGAGTTTGGTGAGAAGTGGGAATTGAATCCTGGTGATGGCGCTTTCTATGGCCCAAAGGTCAGTTCATGGGATATTCGGGTCATGCGGATTTTGGTTGTGGGAAAAGAAACATCACCTTAAATTGGAAACAAAGAAAATTAAGAGCATCTTATCAAAACTCAGTGTTTGCTTTTCAGATTGACATACAGATAAAAGATGCGATTGGCCGCTACCACCAGTGTGCGACCATCCAGCTGGATTTTCAGTTGCCCATCAGGTTTAATCTTTCATATGTAAGGTGAGCTTTCTAGTAACTGCTCTGAGCTTCCGGCCATATGTAGGATAGCATAAATAATAAGATAAAACAAATTTCTCTTCTCTGTAGCCATGACGGTGATGACAAGAAGAGGCCCGTGATTGTTCACCGCGCCATCCTGGGGTCGGTGGAGAGAATGATTGCTATCCTCACGGAAAACTATGGGGGCAAGTGGTAAGGTTCTTCTGTTGTTTCCCTTCTCGTTAAATTGCCCAAAGGAATGTGTGGTGTTTATGAAATGGGAAGGGAGTCATACTCTGACCCCGATGTTTCAGTATCGGTGCCTGTTGGGGCTAGCAGTGTGATAGTTCAGAGTGGGACCTACATAAATCCCCAGCGCACACCTCCCCTGGAACACTACTAGTAATCATTTTTGAATCTTAAAACTTGATTTGTCTGAATATTACATAAGGCTGGAGAGATGGCTCAGCAGTTAACCTCAATACGTAGTTTGTTTTTGATTGCTTCTCTTGGCTTTGTGAGTTTTTTTTTTTTTTTTTTTTCACCTGAATGAATGGATAGGTTTTCGGATTATCTTGTTCAGTTTTGCTGATCAGAATAAGCAAGTATTTCGCCATACTTAAGAAGCCAAGCAGTTTTGTAATTGAAAAAGGAGTAAGCAAAACATGCCAAGCCGGTTGCCAGTTGCCAACGGCTTTACCTAAACCGAAGTGCAGTTAAAAAGAGGCCAGGGTTAGCAACATCCATGGTAGAGTCTTCCATATGAACAGTATAAAACTTTCGTAAAGGTATGTTATACGGTACTGTCATTTCAGTAATTAGATGTGGTTGGTTCAGATGTCACATTTTCATACTCGTCAACGAAATAACCCTGTTTCAGTTAAATCAAATAGGACCCTGGCACACATTCTCTGGTGTGCTCATTCTTTAACTGGAACTCAGAATAAACTGGGAAAAGCCTGCATTTATTGTGAATTAATTGCCTGCTCCAGCCTTAATGCCCGAGGCAACAAACCAGCTGCTCCAGCTGTCAGCTATGTGGGACAGGGTTCAGGAGATGAGGCCCGTTCCTGCTATCGTTTCTTTCAACGTCCACTGAGCAGCATGAGTCTTAGTACGGATCATACATACTGAGGGCGAGTTTTCTTCCTCTAGGCCGCCTTCTCTTGTCTTGAATAGTTTTTCTTTTAAAAGCCGTTATAAAGGCCTGAAAGTTAACTTCCACTGGTTTCAGGAAGAGATACTCCAAGTTGAGCACCCTCCCCTTCTCGAGTGTGCCCAAGCCCACACTCACTGTTGTCACTCCCCTGTCACTCCCCTGCCACACTCAACCGTTGTCACTTCTGCCACAGGCCCTTCTGGCTCTCTCCTCGCCAGGTGATGGTCGTTCCAGTGGGCCCAGCTTGTGACGACTATGCCCGGAAGGTAACCCTGAAATACAAGTTTGCTCTACGTCTACATCTGTTTTGAGCTTTTTGCAATGGGAATTTTATTGTAGAGTCTACTGTGATGGTTCTGGACTTGGCTTCCTGTCTTAGTGCCCTGAATAGTTGGGATTGCCAGCCCTTCCTGGTGACTGCTTTTGTGCTTTCGGACTGATAAGCCATATATTCTTGTCAGATCAAGTGCTCGATACATCAAATAGTGTAATTTTTCTGTGTCTGATAGGCCTGGACATTACACTTTGGAGCTTTTTCTTAGTGGTTCCCTGACCACATGTGTTCACTTGGTGTTTCAGATATACTTGTGTATTTTAGTGTTGGGTGTTAAAAAGAAATGAGTTAGTAATCATAGCCTAAACTATATTAGTACATTAGAATTATGTATCCCACCGAGGTGCCTGATATATGCTGAATTATTCATTTGTTAATGCAGATTCCTTCAGTGGCTTGAAATTCTTTTATCTTACTGTTGTGGCAGGTCAGTGTCTTGCCCCTCTAGCAAATGTGTGAACAATCCTATGGACTTTGCACCTCCCAAGAACAATCTGTTCTGCTTTAGTGATTGCTCCATGCTAAAGACTTATACATGCTTACTGGTCAGTCAGTGACAAGCCTGGGCACCGTGGTGTTGATCCTGCATCCCAGCATCTGGGTGGATGAAGCAGGAGTGCACACAGCCTGGACTGTAGACTTACACATGCATAATAGTCAGTCAGTGATGAAGCTTGGGCATCATGGTGGTGAGCCTGTGTCCTAGCATGTGTGTGGGTGAAGTAGGAGTAGTACACACATGGTTAACCTCAGTCACTGACAAGCCTGGGGTGAGCCTACACCCCAGCATCTGGGTGGGTGACATGGAGGAGTACACATAGCCTGAACTGTAGAATGAGACCGTCTTAAAAACGGTAGGGGTGGGTAGGCAGTGGCAAGATGACTCAGTGAGTTAAAGTACTTGCTGAGCAAGCCTAACTATAAATTTGATCCTTAGAACCCACATAAAAAGGCCAGATGTGCACATATGCAATCCCAGTACTCCCATAGTGTATAATGGAAGGCAGACACAGGAGAATTGCCTGCAAGCTCACAGGCCTCTGTAGTCTATGGGATACAGACTGGCAGAAACAAGACAGACCTGTCTGCCTCAAAACAAGGTAGAAGTGACCAGCAAGGTGGCTCAGCAGATAAGGACACCTGCCACGTAGCCTGATGACCTGAGTTTAGTCCCTGGAACCCCTAAGGTAGGAAAAGAGAAATGACTCCTGCAAGTTGTCCTACTCAAAACAAGACGGAAGGAGACAGCCAAGTCCTTGGGAAGCAAGCTTTACTGAAGCCTCGGGTAAATGACTTCCTGTTTCCATAAGAATACATATCATACAGTCCATTGTGAATCTGACCTAAAGTGCAGCTTTTTCACCCTGGTCTACATGTGTGTGCATGACTGGACACACAATAATAGTAATAGTGACTTTTTAAATACAAAAGTTGATCAGTGAGCAGTATTGTTAGCATCAGAATAGGTGATGATTTTATCTTGAATATCAAAATTGTATTCTGAACTCCCAATCTTTTTCATTTCTGTTATGTAGCCCTGGCTGTCCTGGCACTCACTCTGCAGACCAGGCTTACCTCAAACTCACAGAGACCCATCTGCCTCGCAAGTTCTGGGATTAAAGGTGTGCGCCACCACACCTGGCTGTGTGCCCTGATCTTAACTCTATTTAAGAAACAAGGGGACATTAAATCCGTTGATAAGCAGAGCTTTCTTTGTATTACACGTGGTAGTTTTAGGTGCAGGCTGATATACAGCTGATTCCTTACAGGCATATCAGGAACTTGATGTGATCACAAGGGCCTTTTTTATGTTTTGTTTCTTAAAAAAAAAAAAAAAAAAAAAAAAAAAAACCTGATTAGTTTGATTTTTTTCTGAGTGTTGATTTTCGGGTGCTTTCTAAAATATTTATCTTACAAGAGGAAAATGTCCCTTTTTGTTTAAGTGCTGGGATCAAATTTATGAATGTTGAGTGCTACGGCTGTGTTATGTCTCCAGCATCAAAGATGTGGCCGCTAACTTTCAGAATGTAAACTCAAATCATAATTTTGTGTTATCAGTTTCAGTACTGATATTAGCATTCATTTTTAATACTTGCATAGTTAAATTCTGTGACCTAATAAACTATAATTGTATTCTGACTCTCAATTGTTACTAGGTACGGCAACAATTCCATGATGCTAAACTCATGGCAGACATTGACCTGGATCCAGGCTGCACTTTGAATAAGAAGATCAGAAATGCACAGTTAGCACAGTATAACTTCATCCTGGGTAAGGGAAGGTTCCCAATCATATGGGAAAAGCTGCTGAAATCTTGAAACTTAAGCTCAGCGCATCTTACTTATGAATGACCTTGGTTCCTGTGGTAGTTACTGCTCTATTATTGTGAGGAGACACCACGTTCAGGGTAACTTAGAAAAGAAAGCATTTAATAAGGGGTTTGCTTACAGTTTCAGGGGGTTAGTCCATGGCCATCATGACAGGGAAGAGCAGTCAGTCAGGCGTGGCTGAAACAATAGCTTAGAGGTTATATCTGACCCACAAGCTCGGAGTACAGAGAGAGAGAGGGGGAGAGGGAGGGAGGGGAGAGAGGGAAAGAGAGAGAGAGAGAGAGAACACCAGGGATGAGCTTTTAAAATCTCAAAGGCAACCCCTAGTGACACACCTCCAACAAGGCCTCGCCTGCCTTCTAGTCCTTCCCAAACACTTTCACTAACTGGGCACCACGCTTTCAAACATATGAGCCTGTGGGGGCCAGTCTCCTTCAAATCACACAGTTCCCTCTTTTGTTTTTCTTACTCTTTTGTGGTCCTGGAATTGGACCACAAAATTGGATCAGTGATTGAACATGTTAGGCTCCTGTAAGCATGATTCTAAATACTCAGTGTCCTCTGTTTGCATAGCAAGGAAGTTTAGGGGTGAAAAATGGATGAAGGTTGTTTACAAAAAGGAATTGCCTTTATGTCATTTTGTATTAAGTTCACTGGATTAAGTGACTCAGGATGGAAGTTTTTGGTACTTAATATAGGTCTTTTTTTACTTACAGCATTTTATAAGCCTGAATATTCATGGTCACCTGACCATCTCAGTGTGTCTTAAGTTGCATTTAGAGTCCATTAGGGTGGTTTCTGCTGTTGAGGACAAATCCTCCCAGGTCCATCAGTTTAAGTCTCACAGAGCCTTGTGTCTTCCTTCTAGTTGTTGGGGAAAAAGAAAAAGCCAGTGGCACTGTGAATATCCGCACCAGGGACAATAAGGTCCATGGGGAGCGAACTGTCGAGGAAACTGTGGTGCGGCTGCAGCAGCTCAAGCAGTCCCGCAGCAAGCAGGCAGAAGAGGAATTTTAACAGGAACATGGTCCACACTGGCTCAGCCTAAGGAAGACAAGTGCTCCATCCCTGGGAAACGTGCGTTTATAATGAACCTGGAATAATGCTGCAGTCTATGTGAATCAGCCTTTTTGATCTGGACAATTCATAAACAGTGTGTTAGATGAGGGTCAATAAAAGAACCATTAAAATTATTTTAGTCTTTAAATGTCTCAGCAGTGGAAACCGGGGGAGGGGGGGTGTTGAATCATGGTGTTAAGAATTAAAATTTACTGCTGCAGATATCGAGACCTTGTGTTTCTGTGCCTCCATGTCCAGCAGGAAGTGCTGACGTGGGACTGACGTGGGACGAGGGTGTTTGGGAGGGTTAGATCACAGCACTCTGATTCCCAAACGGAATAGGTAAACATTTCCTTTTGAGATGACACTTTTACTTCTTTTGGGGTAAAGAGCTTTAAAATAACTTAAAACAATGATGTGCAAACTCTTAGGGACATGTCTTCAAAGAAAGGTGTGTGTGGAAAACTGTTCTGCCTCAAGTGGGTTCTCTGTTATGAATACTTTTTAAATTTTTCTATCAGCAAATCATTTATGGAGCATGACATAAGAAAAGACATTCTTGTATGATTATATATTATTCCCTTTTATTATCGTCATTTTCAGAAGTCATTTGGTCAAGTCTGTAATAACCCAACAAATTTGTTGGCAATGGTTACCTCAAAGAGAGGCACACATAGATTAATCGTGTAATAAAGGAGGTGATATCTATCTTCATGGTTTTGTTCTTTGCATCTTCCTATGCTACACTTCTGAGGGCCTTAAGAGCTTTAGGCTTGTAATTTCTCTGTGTATCTTGACAAACCTTTAAAACAGATTTTGTATCCTGTGATGTCATCATCTTCTGATGCAGTTTTTGATTTGTATTTGTTCAGTCCATCTATTAAAACGTTCATGTTCGGGACAGGATGAACGCAGGGCCTATGGCAGGCTCGGCACATGTTCTCCCACTGAGCCACACTGCCAGGGCGCTGCATGTTGTAAATGCCTTCTGGGAAAATAGTTCTACTAATTTCAGGGTCTCTGGACCTTTTAATGCATTTGCTGACTCACTTTCATTTTCATGTGTGACTTTGAGTTACAAGTCTGATATGTCAAGACGGCTTTTGCACAATCAACTTCCTTAACTTACATTTTATTGAAGGAGCTGGTGTGCCAAGGAACACTCTGGAGATAGAGCAGGCCAATTAGGTGAAAGTGGAAGTCTCCATGTAGAGCTTTTTAAATTTTATTTCTTATTCATGTATGCTCTAAGTATGATCTGTTGGTGCAGTTTTAGCTCTGTGAAGAGAATACACATTTGCTACTGGAACACTTAATTTCTAATGTGCTCTTAGGTTTTAAATATATTTACTTGATAAGATTATTCATAGAACTGAAAACCAGCAGCAACCACCAATGTCTAGTATCCTAATATATAGTAAGAATGTTTATATTTATTAGTTTAGATACCACGTGTGACTCCATAACAAAATTCCATCCATTTTGTTATTTGCTGTGGCTGCTTGCCCACCAAAGAGATAAGTAGCTTGGCAGACTAGGTATATCAAGTCTGTGTGTTTACTACCTGGTGTGTGGATTGGACTCGGTAAAGGGAAGGAATTTGTCCTTTCCCTGCTGTTCTTGCTGCCTAACATTTTGCATAGAAAGCATTGGGGCTGACTTCTTGCAATCTTGAAGTGGCTGTGAAAATGAAAAGCATGTGTTGATTAATGTAGTGAACAAATAAGAGGAGCTGGGGTCAGCTATGTGCAGTGGCACGTGGGTATGTTTAGTCCCAGTTGTTGTGTAGGGCAGGAGGACTCCACATGTTTGAGGCCCATGTGGGCAGCAGTGAAGTCCTGAAAACAAGCCACTTACATCATGTGGTGGACCTGATGAACTTGTCTGGACTACCGAACTCTGGATGGAGGTAGAGGGAATGGGTGAGAGAAATCATTTCATTAAATTACTGTGGCCAGATTTCTGATAGTGGTCCCTAGCTTTACATACTTAGTTTTAGCAAAGGTGACTAATTTTTCTATCATCTTTTTGAGATCATTTTTAGTTACCAGGACTGAACATCCCCCTATTTTTTAATCTCACAGAGGTTTAGTCTTTTAATTCCATTTCTGGACAGCTGCCCCTGGCTCTTCTCATGATATCCATGGCCAGCCAATCACTTACAGACCTTTCTCCAACACTCACTTTGCATGAATGTCCCGCTTGATCTATTTTATAAATATCTAACCTTTTTCTCCATGAGGTCAGTCCTGTGTGAGAAAAGTAGGAAGAATTTGAGCCACTCCTGTTGGTGATTTCTACTCCCAGCTGCTCCTAATTCGCCCGCACAGGTATAGCTTAAGGCCCTCAATAAGAAGTACATCTTTCTTCAAATCTGTCTTTCTCAGCTTGTGTTTGGTATCTGGAAAGCTCAGGACTTACAGTGTTTCCACCTGCCACTGTGCACTCCATGGCTCAGTCAACTGTTGGTTCATGCTACTTCCTTAAATGTAAAGCTCACATCAGTGTCACTGTCCCTCCTTGAATGATGTCTTCCTCCTTTTAAAGCTAACCACTCTAAAACTCTTGCACTTAGGGACTCACAGGTATGATCTGTGGAGTCAAAAAGTTGGGTTGATAGTCGAACTGAAACTTCCAGTTGAACAACCTTGGGCAAATCTTAACTTCTCTGAGCCTCTTGCTACTGGTCAAATGTGTTTACTGTATCTTGTGGAGTGCAGCTGTTCTGACAAGTCTACAAGTATTGTTTCATATAAGACAGTACTGATAGGCTCAGTAGTTATCCCCTTTATATCAGCTTCTCAGTTGCCTCTGACCGCTCAAGCTATTTCTCTTGTAAGTATTCTGTGCCCCTCGGTGCTGACTTCAGCTTCCACAAAACCAAAGTGTGCTTTGCAGAGAGCAAAAAGTGCTCCTGGTTGCACTTGAGCTCTAATAACAGAACTGGTCTGGGCAGTGAACAAACTAGATGTGGCAAGAGAAAAAACATCAAAACATTTGCACTGCCCAAGGCATAGTTTGCAGAAAGGAGCTTTGTGTGGAGGGAGCATGGTGGCTGCAGAATCCTGAATGAAAGGCTGTGGAGAATGGAAGGAATGGACTGGTGTAAGGGGTATGGTAAGGAGAGGTGCCTGGACCAGTAGAAGAGAAGCATCAGCGGGACCAACGGGATGATGAGACTGAGCAAAAGAATGAGGGTTAGATCAGATTCACAATGGACTGTATGTGTGTTATGGAAACAAGAAGGTTTATTGGAGGTTTCGGTAAAGCTTGTTTCCCAAGGAATGATTTTTGAGGTTGTCAAGTTCTCCAAGTACATTATGTATCTATAGCAACACTAAGTTTTAATTTAAGGAGTCTGTCTCTGGCTAGTGATATCCAGTATTTACTCTGGTGAAGTTTGAATTCTAAAATAAAAATAAATATAAAGTTTACCTTCAGACAGCAGGGGGCAGCCTTACCCTCTTTATCCAGATAGATGCAGGCACCAAAACAAGGTTGGAGCAATCAGTTAAATTATCTTAAAGATAGCTTGAACTAACTTGAACCTCATTGTCCCGTCATTGGAGAGGAGTAATGGACTCCAGCAACATCAGTGAATCTTAACGGGGCTTTCCCTGGACATTCTCAATAGCCTCTAGTGGAATACTAATAATAGCATAGCCAATATTGGGAAGTGCACAAGAGGCAACAAAGAAACTGGCAAGGGTATTGGGAACTGTCCCTGTTACTGATGGGAAAAGGATGGAGAGTGAAGTGTCAGGGGTCCCGAGAGGGTGGGGTGATGTCTGGTTTGTGAGCAGAGAAGTAAATGCTAAAGCAGTATAAACCCCTGTCCTCAGTTCACAGGAGCAAAGCTGCAACAAACAGCTGCAACAGTTACCAGTGAAGCCTGTCAAGAGAAAGGGTTCCCAGGGGAGGAAAGCTTTGATTTCTGGGAGGTCTGTGGAATGCTAGCAGTGTGTTACCAGGATCCTATCCACCAGATCACTTGCAGTTCAGGGTGCTGCAAAAATGTAGGAACCTCCACATTGTGACAGTCTGATGACAAGCCCAGAGCTCTCCATGCTCCACTGCCTGGTAATTCTTCCAACCCCCTAGCACCTTTTACGGGTGGGATGGGGTTGAAGCTAAGGAATCTTGCATACTACATATACACCAGTGAGCTACTTTCCAGCCTTTTTTTGTTTGAGATTAATTTGTAGAGGCTGGCCTTGAAGTTACTTTATATCCCAGGTAGGTCTTGAACCTGTGATCTTCCTGACTCAGCTTCCTCCAGAGTAGCTGGGAAGTATATGTGTATGTTTCAAACTGAACTTTGAAAACCATGTTTTCAGGTTCCCTATAAGTTGTAGGTGATTGATTGAAGTTGATCTCAGGATCACTGCAGGCTAGCAGGAGGGCAGAACTCTGTATATAGGTCTGGGTTTTTTTTTAAAATAGCTGCATGGAATTATACTCTGTGGCTTTATCACAGTTTAATTCAGAAACTATTAGGAACTTCAAATTGTCACTGATTTTTCATGTTTTGACTTTTCAATTTTGTTTTTTGTTGCTATATTAACTATGCTTCAAAAAAAAAATGTTTACATGCATTGCTATGTGATGCTCCTCACAAAGAACAGTTTCTCAGAAGGGGGATTCAAGGCCAGAAAGTGGTCATGCTTTTTTTTGTTTGTAACTACTGTCTTAGATAGTTTGGGGGTTTGAACAAGAATGTCCCCCATAGGCTCATATATTTGAATGCTTAATCATCAGGAGTGCTACTATTTGAGAGTAAGAGGATGTAGACAGCTCTCAGACACTGTTTCAGTGTTAAATCAGGATGTAGACAGCTCTCAGACACTGTTGCAGTGTTGTGAGTACACTCTGCTTCCACCACACCTTTCCATGGTGAAGTGGACTAACTCACTGAAACTGTAAGCAAGCCCATAATTACATTCTTTATAAGAGTTGCCTTGGTCATGGTGTCTCTTCACAGCAGAACAATGACTATGACAGATGGTCTAATAAATCCATACCTGAGTGCTTTTGTTCCAATTGCTCACAAACACTAGCAATAGTTCATCTCCCAAACAAAAACTACTTTCCCAATTGTAAGGAGTAAGGTTTTTCCTTCCGCCTCCACTGGTCTTGTCCTGCCGCCACGCCAGCCCCAAGT